TTCTGAAATAAGCTCTTCTTCCATTTCAATGCTCAATAAAAGATCATAGAACAGTGCGATTTTATGTCTGTTCTCAGAGAAAATGATTTCATCCAATTTATTATCATCTTTCCTAATGCCAGTCAATGTTTGATCCGCTAGGTATCTTTCTCTCAGCTGTCTATACAAGAGCCAACCACATGTATATTCCTCTTCAGTTAATTTCTGGTGGCTTTTGAGGGACATATTTCCACTTTCCTTATTTCTTTCCAACAGGTCATCATAGGTTATCTATTTCCCTTTTTTTATAACTTCCCTCTGGTGGAATGCTTCATGAATTGAAGTCCATCTGGGTAGCTCCGGGCATACTCTAACTTTATATTTTGTCCAAACATTGAACAACGATTTTCGAATAAAGTGATTACCAAATTCTTTATGTATTTTATGTTTTTCATATAACAGGTACCCGTGCCATCCAAATCTAAGCCCTCTCCCCTCTAATGCCAAGACTCCTTCATTACCTAACGTAAACCAGTCCAACATCCAAGTAAATCAGCATGCCGCATAGTACACCTGTAGATTGGGTAAAGCCAGACCTCCCCTATTAGGCTTATTTTGCATAATTTTAAACCTCACTCTGGGTTTCTTTCCTCCCCAAACAAATTTAGAAATTTCTTTATGCCAGATTTTAAAAGGTTTAAAATTAGTAATTATTGGCAAATTTTGAAAAAAAAAACCACCATAAATTTAGGAAAGATTTTCATTTTTATGACCACGATTCTCCCCAGCCAAGATAGTTGTAATTGATTCCATTGTTTTAAATCATAAACTAGTTCTGTGGCAATCTTCTCATAATTATTTTTATACAAATCTACATTTTTGTTAGTCAGTGTTATCCCCAGGTATTTTACTTTCTTACAGATCTGAAAACCCGAACATTCTTTAATTTTTGCTTCTTCTTCCTTAGGCATGTTCAGGGCTAACACGGAAGTTTTATCTTTATTAATCTTTAAGCCGGAGACCAAGCTGAACTCATCCAAAATATTTAATAGATGTTTTATGCTTTCATCGGGGTCTACCATCATAACAAGAAGGTCATCTGCATAAGCTTGGAGTTTAAATTCCTGACCTTTACATTTAAACCCGGGGATCTTATCTTCATTCCTAATTTTATTATTGAGCATTTCGATGACCATAAGGAACAATAAGGAGGATAATGGACATCCCTGCCTGGTTCCATTATTTATTTTAATTCCATCCGTTCTTTCCCCATTTACAAGGATTCTTGCTTCTTGTGTTTCATATATTGCTGTAACCCAGCTTATAAAGTTCTTCCCAGCCTGAGCCTTTTCTAGAACTGTGAAAAGAAAAGACCAGTCAACTTTATCAAAAGCCTTCTCGAAATCGATGAAGGTCATGGCCATTTTCTTATCGGTGTTTTTTTGATGGATCTCGATCAAATTGAGGACAACTCTCAAATTGTCTCTGATTTGTCTCTGTGGTAGAAACCCACATTGGTCTTTATTGATCCAATTCTTTAACACATTTTTTAATCTCATGGTTAAAATAGAAGCAAAAATCTTGTAGTCTACATTTAATAAAGAAATGGG